TTTCCCCCCCCCCCTCTGGTAATGTGCATCACTAGCATCACCCCCCTCCCTTTCCCCGGTAAGAGTAGAAGCACAAGTGGCTTACCTCCACTAGCAAGGAGACTGAGGAAGATTCTGTTGTCCCTGCTGGAGCAGTCCCTTTGGAATCTGTCTTTTCCTTTCTCCCCTGTCCATGATGTGGGAAAGAGGGACTAGTGCTGCACAGAAAACCCTTTGCTCCAGGCCCACAGCAGCACACCTTAAGCTGCTCACAGCCTCTTCCAAATGGACTGAGAAAGCAGGGAAACACTTCCAGAAAATGCCACCGCCGAAAGTCTGTCACATGTGTTGCCGTGATTTAGGCCCAATACCTCAATGCCAATGATATGTGTTTCCAACTAGATGGATGTAGTCGAAAAGTCGATCGCACTCCAAAATTAATTTCAGTCAATGTTCTTTATTGGCAAAATAATTGTCACATCGTATAGCAACGTTTTGGAATCGTATAGGTCCCTTCTTCAGGCAAACAAAGGGGTCTATTCACTAAGCTGCCATAGGCAGCCGAGTGAATGACCGACCTGAAGTGAAGTGAGCTTCAGGCTGGTACGGCTGATTTCAGTCGTACATCGGCTGAAATCAGCCGTACATCGGATTGCTTCACGTGGCTTCGGGTCGGCCGAACATGCTGAGCGGCATTCGGCTCGGCTGTTCTGCTTGGTCCCTCAGAGGGACCGAGCAGAACAGAAAAAGAGTTTAAAAGGGTTAAAAAAAAGTAAATGGAAGACGATTGTGCGGAGCTAGCAGTGACAGCTAGCTCCGCCCAATAGTTTCCTATTGTCCGGCGGCTCTACTGCTGTAAAAAATAACGGAAAAAAAAAAAACCTCCCGGGTGCTCTGGGAGTCTCCTGCTCCCGGCCGCCCAGGAGAGAAACACTGATGTGTCTTTTTTTTCTTTATTCTGACACGAGCGATGTCAGAATATAAAAAAAAAAAAAAAAGAAATTTTCCCATTGAAAAGCATTGGTACATTACTATTGGCTATTTCAATTTGCAATAGCCAATAGTAAACAATACTAAAGCATTGTACCACCCTCTGCTGATGGACCTGATCGGGAACTGCAGCAGAGGGCAGGTACAATGCTAGTTTACTATTGGCTATTGCAAATTGAAATAGCCAAAAGTAATGTACCAATGCTTTTCAATGGAAATGTTTTTTTTTCTTCTATTCTGACATCGCTCGTGTCAGAATAAAGAAAAAAAGGCACAACTGTGTTTCTCTCCTTGGCGGCCGGGAGCAGGAGACTCCTGGGGCGCCAGGGAGAGTTAGCTGTTTGGAGATCAGTGTCCCTGGTTAGCAGGTAACCAGGGACGCTGATCTCTCTGCAAGTGGCCGAAGCCAGTTGTAAGATCACGGCTGGCTCCGCCCAGCTGTCAGAAGCAGCTTCGGCTTTCAGCACGGCTCAGCCGAGCCGAGGCATATGCGTTCGGCTCGACTGAGCCGCTCAGCCATGTTCGGGACCTGTACGGGCTATAGTGAATAGCCCGTACAGCACCCCTTCGGTTCTAGCCGAAGGATCGGCCAAAGCTACGGCCAGATCCTTCGGCAGCTTCGTGAATAGACCCCAAAGTGTCACTTTTTTACCTGAAGAAGGACCTATATGGTTCCAAAATGTTGCTATACAATGTGACAATTCTTTTGTCAATTAAGAACATTGACTGAAATTCTTATTGGAGTGTGAGTGACTTTTCTACTACGTGATACTGATCTGCAGAGGGATGTGCACCCACCCATTATCTTGCGTTATATCCACTCAGAAGAGCGATGGGATCTACTTGAATTACTTTCCAACTAGATGGTCACACAGAGGTGAAAAGATGTCTGTGCTATACCTATGATAGTAAATATCCAGACTTAAGCATTATTTTAAGACTCATTTCTTCACTTGACTTGTTTTTTCTAAGGTAAGAGAAGTTGTGCTGGAGAGACTTTGGCTAAAATGGAACTGTTCCTCTTCTTTACCACACTGCTGCAAAGTTTCACCTTTCAGGCTCCACCCGGAGCTAGCCTGGACCTCAACCCTGCTGTTGGCTTGGTAACTCCTCCATTGAAGCATGAGATGTGTGCAATTCCTCGCAAATGAAGTGAACTGGCAGTAAATAGAAGATAACTGATCTGATTTGTAATCCCATCTGTATAGGCAGAACTGAACAGGATAAAGAGAGTTATCAAGATGAATAATAACAGCTAAATATTAATAAGTTATTTAGTCATAAATATATTAAAGGAGAACTATGGGGACAGGGCTTTTCCCCATAGTTCTCCTTAGGGTAACGGGAGGACACAAACTAGCGTCCTCCCGTCACCCTGGGCTCAGTACACCGCAAGCTGCAGCTCGCGATATACTGAGACACCGCAGCTGAAGCAGATCCCGACAATTATGTCCGGATCCACCCAGCTGCGTGAGTGACAGCTGGCTCTGCCTATCTAGAGGCAGAGCCAGCTGTACCCGCCCCCTCCCCGTCCGTTCCGCCATTCAGCGCTGGAGGATCGGAGCGGGGAAGGGGGAAATCCAGCCCCTCCCCTGTCACGGCAGAGAGCTGTGACAGGATCGAGAGGTGAGCGAACGCCTGTATGAGTTCGCTCACTTCCCGATCTACTGAGCCGACCTGTGACAGTCTCATTGTCACAGGTTGGCTAGAACTATGAACTATGAAAAGCACTCACCTCATAGTTCTCCTTGAGGCCCCGTTCACACTGAGCGATTTTTGCAGCGATATCGCTCATATTTCCACGCGATATCGCTCTATGTAGCTTCTCCAATCCATTTCAATGGAGCTGTTCACATCTCGTCTCTCAATATCGCTCAATATCGCTTGTAGCTTGTCGCTCCTACATGACCCTTTTTTCAAGCGATTTCGAGTGATATTGCTCCTGATTGCATACAGCCCAATAGGAAAAAGTTGCCACAGGGAGCGCAAAATCGCACGATTTTTATGTCGCTCAGTGTGAATGGGGCCTTAATAAGTCAGTCAGTATATGAACTATATTATACTAGTATAAGACAATAAGCCTTAACCAGGGATCTCAAGTCTCCCTGATGTTCAGGGAGTCTCCCGCTATTAGATAGCGTCTCCGTGACGTCCTTGAGAGAGAGTCATTTTCTCCCTGAAAGGTTTACTCTGAGTAAACCTTTCCGGTAAGACATCAGTGAGTAAAGTTTCAGAGTGAGGCTTGCCTCCTGGAGGAAGGTCATGTGATCTCTAGAGTAGCCTCAGAACGAGGCTTGGCTCATGGAGGAAGGTCATGTGATCTCTAGAGTAGCCTCAGAAGGAAATAAGGTTTTGCAGGTTGGGATGTCTGCTTAACAGACAAGTGTACATTGACTATGAAGCACACTAACCCTCCCTAGCTCTCCTGAACTAAACTATATTTTAAAAAATCCAACCTCAGCTGCCTACTTACTGCAAGAAGACCATGGGATAGCACTCTCGCCTGGTTGCGATGTGGTCATTAGCTGTTCTAATGTTTTCCCCGTGTTTGTGCAGAATCTTCAAATTCCTTTTATACCTCAAATATATCCTGGAAGATTATTTGGCCCCAGAATGTGCAAATGATTATATGAGTATGCAAAGTTTATAATGTCTGAACAGTTTTAAAGTTGATGTAAACCCAATCACCAAAATGTCATATGTTTTAATTGTTGATAAAAATTTCAAAAGTTGTTTTCAGTCTTTCTATATCTGCAGCTTTCCCTAAAATAAACCCTGATCATCCTGCCGAGAAGGTCCTCATTTAGGCACTTCCTGTTATGAGGTGACAACTGGCTACCCTTTGTTCTCCTGCATTGTTCTCCTGCATCTCCTGTCATGCGCACCCATGGTGGAAAATACAAGCAGTGTGGCCATACACATTGTAAAGCAAATTGTTCACTGTTTTCATTAGCAAGAAGCTGATTCAGAGTAATAAAATTAAGCTGGTGCTGGAACAAGTGCACATAAATAAGGGTGGGCAGCGGCTGGAGGAGATCTGCAGCACTCAGATGGAAAAAGAATGGAAAAATGTGAAAATGTTATTTTATTGGCAGTGCTTAAGCAAACAAAATATCTTCCAAGTAGGGTTTAGAGATACTCGAGTTACTCTGCATACTCGGTAAAACGAAGGGCTATATAGATATAAACAATACACTGCCTGGCCAAAATAAAAGTCACCATCTGGATTTAGCTAAGCAAATTGGTCAGAGCCTTCTATTAGATAATAGGTCTAGGTTGAACAACATTATGTCCCCAAAAAATGAGGTCAGTTGCCCACCTGTATATACTGAATGTCAAGGATTTTTCATCAAAGGATTTTTTTCTTCCCTGATGGCACATTGGGCATATTCCAAGATGACAATTCCAGGATTCATCGGGCTCAGATTGTGAAAGAGTGGTTCAGTGAGCGTGAGACATCATTGTCACACATGGATTGGCCACCACAGAGTCCAGACCTTAACCCATTGAGAATTTTTGGGATGTGCTGGAGAAGACTTTACACAGTGCTCCAACTCTCCCATCATCACTATAAGATCTTGGTGGAAAATGAATGCAACTCAGAATGGAAATAAATGTTGTCATATTCCATAAGATTATCAAAACGATGCCAGGGCCAATGCGTGCCGTAATCAAAGCTAAAGGCGGTCCAATGAAATATTAGAGTGTGTGACTTTTTTTTTCAGCCAGGCATTGTATAATTGGTATAGGTGTATAGGTATTGCATTCAGTTTCTGGTGATTAAACCAACTATGAAACATAGCTCAGGGGCTGCCAACAGGTTGGGGTGCCATGCGTTTATAGTAGTCTTGGTGGTAATGAGAGTACTGTATATTTGGTGTTGGTTTAAGCAGCATGAAAATGAGTATTTCAGAATAATTGCATCAGGAACTTTCAGGACATTGTGATATATGATTCACTGATTATGCATTAATGGGACCCTGCCCACCGGCAAACCGGTGCTAATATGTATGTGACCATAAAAATAAACTGTAGATAACGATAACAGCAGAATAATAAATAGTTGTCTTATATGATGGATGATGCAACAGGTTATTTAAGTCAAGGTAGTCCAATGAAATAGTAGAGTGTGACTTTTTTTGGGGCACAGGTTGTGTATATAAATAATAATAATAATAATTAAAAACATAAAAATGAATGATAATATTAGATTATTTTCGCTTTAATAAAGTCAACATTTGCTGAAAGAAAACAACAACTCTACTGTGAAGTGAATCTGGTATGCAATACCGTGCATGCATCCCAGGGTGTGCAAATTGACATTATAAACACAGACTTTCTGTCAAAGCAAGGATATGTAACCCTTCTGAAGGGATAAAGTGAGTTTAACATTAGCAGTAGTTTCTTTGTCTCAGGTTAGAGTACTTGTTTAAGCTGTAACAACCTGGAGAGTTTCGCGTTACTGCAAAACAAATGATTTCACAGGAAATTAATGTAAAGTTAAAGTTTCGATTTTGTATGCAGCAGTTGCTATGCTCTTCTTATTTGTGATTGGTCAATGCTGAATCACCGCCCCATGCACACTCTGTATAACCGTTACCCTGTACTGATACATCTTTGATATTGAGCGGATACCACACACCTTTGTGTCTGTGTTGATTCTCATATCCTGAGCTCGAGAGTGTACCGATTCAGCAGAAGAGAAGTAAAAAGTCTGCTGCAGATTTGACCCCGGGGTTACCACAAAGTAACCCGTCACCTTCCTTCCATCCATAGGTCCGTCCATAGGTCATACAGGCATGAAGCATTGCATTGTGAGATGCCAGGTAGTGGCTTTCACCACCACAATGTCCATGTTCACATAAACACTTTACTCTTGTTGTGTGAAATAATAAAGAGTATATTTTACAAACAATCAGGCTATTGATTTTGGCATTACTAACTGATGAAGAAGGGAACTGCATAGCTTTAAGTAAAGTATTACTGGGAGAAACTAAAATGAAAAATGTGGGGTCAACTTTACTGACAGCCACCCACCCATAAAAAACATGTTTGAAAAGGGGCTGTCAAAATAAAAGCATCATCAAAAGGTGCTTTTCTGTCATGGAATCTGTTTCTGAGTAGAACATGGAAGCTGCCATTGCTGGTTTCCTATTCTGCAAATTATAGTTGTGTGGCTGTTATGCCTAGTAGTGATGAGTGAATGTGCCCTTGGTTCCATTCCTGGGCCATTCATGGAATCCATTTTAAATGATGGAGATTGAACCCTATTGAAGTAACTGGTGGGTAGATCAATTTTTGCTATTTTGAAAGCTGACAGGCAAGGGAATGTCAAACAATCCCTCTTTGCAGTAGCACATTGCGTTTAATAAAATGTCAAAAGAGAGTGCCCCGAAAAACTTCAAAATCACAACCCCACACTCACCCCCTTGTTCTTAATTATTCCCAAATTATTAAAACTATAGACTTCAAATCTGCGTCTGGTAGAAACCGACTAGCTTCAGGACAAGCACTTGTTGGGTAGCAAACTGCAAAATCTCTGCAGTGCGGGCCAAGATCTTTGTGAAAAATGAATGCAACGTTCGATGGAACTAAATGTTGTGACATTCTATAAGCTTATATCGAAATGATGGCATGGCAAATGTGTGCTGTAATCAAAGCTAAAGATGGTCCACCAATTTTTAGAGTGTGTGACTTTTTTGGGGGCCAGGCAGTGTATAATTGGTATAGGTATATAGGTATTGCATTCAGTTTCTAGCGAATAAACCAACAATGCTGCATAGCTTAGGGGCTGCAAACAGGTTGGCGTGCCATGCATTTATGGGAGTCATGGTGGTAATGAGAGTACTGTATATGTGCTGTTGGTTTAAGCAACATAGTTACATAGTATTTAAGGTTGAATAAAGACACACGTCCATCAAGTTCAACCTTTGTGTGTCTGTGTGTGTGTTGTGCATGCATGCATGTGTGTATATGAGTCCCTGTGTGGTCTTAGTTTTTAAAGGAGAACTATGAGGTGAGTGAAAATCACTCATCCTCATAGTTCGAACTGACGTGCAACAATGAAACTGTCACACATCTGCTCAATAGATCGGGAAGTGAGCGAACACATACCGTCGCTCGCTCACTTCTCGATCCTATCCCTGCAGAGAGAGGTGACTGTCTGTCACGGCTCCGATCCTCCAGCGCTGACTGGATGGATCTCGACAGCATTGTCGGGATCCGTCCCGGCTTTGGCGGTCTGAGTATACCATGAGCTGTGGCTCGTGGTATACTGAGCTTTGGGTCACGGGAGGATGCTAGTTTTTGTCCTCCCATAAAAGAGAACTACGACCTCTGAGTATTTCAGGATAATTGCATCAGGAACTTTAATGACATTGTGATATACAAAAAAAAGCCACTAATAATAAGAACAAAGAAAACATCAGCACCGGGGTCAATTTCCCAAAGAGCTTTCCCTATTGTTTCCTTACAGCAGCTTCCAACACAATGATACTATGGATTTGCTCTGTGCCCCCCCCCCCTTTATAATGAGGGGGCTGACTTATCCAAAAGCCCCCTTACTGACCATTCTCAGCCTGCTGGCAATAGCTCAAAGGTTATGTGGTGAGTTATGGTTTTATTTGTTTTGTTTTTTTTTTTATCCAAAATCCCTTTATTACAAGAGTGCTACACTGTGGCACAAAATGTATACAACTTGGAATCCCCTATTCCGATATATATATTTTTGTTTACTTTTTATTTATTCAAACATAAATACACATCAAGATTATTTAGTTACAACCATACATAGTAATATGAATACAAAGGGAGATTTTTCAAATTAAAAAAAAAATAATTAAACTTCTGCTGGACACAAACATTTTCTAGGATGGAAAATCTCAAACCCGTAGGATTCGCTTTGAAGCAGTAGAAGTAAACCCGAGCGTGGTAGCAGTGAACCCAAACCGCATCCCTAACCATGGCTACAGTTTTCCTATTGAGTGTCAAAATTTTCTACAGCAGATATACAAATTTGAAAATGTTTTCGCCCTTCACAGCACAATTCATTTACCGTGAATATATGACAAAAGGTGTTTTTACATATCTTTATACTATTGTCTGGTCAGACAAGTTCTTTTCATGTCACTGTAAACTGAGTCTGGCTGTTCAGCGTATGTGTGGGCCTGGCCTCCGTGGAATGAAGGCTGCACTAGCACTTCAAGTCTTACAAGTGCATTGTCAAGTGCAGAAGTTTGTTAGTAGACCAGGACTGGACTGTTTTCCTAATAGTAAAGGTAAGACGCCAACCAATATCATGAAATATTATATGCATGGTGTTAAAATCATTGTGTGAGCTCTATTATAAATGCACAGCTCTGGGTAGAATTACTTTAATGTTCTATATTATTTATCATAGATGCATACTTCGTCAGCCATTTGCAATATTTACAATCTAAGATGATAGGACTGGGTCCGTCATGATTTTAGGCTTCAAGTGGCACTATGGGCAAAATAAAAATTGACATACTGTATATGATGCAATCTGTCACTACCATTAGGACAGAAGTGTTTGTTTTCTGAATTTTGGTTTGGAAAACAGATTTAAACCACATGAATAAAAGCTGACCATTGTAAGCATCTCCGGTGTAATATGTGTCCCAACTTTCTCTGGACAGCTTGATCTGCATGTAGATGTGGAGAAAAACATAATTTAAGGCATGTGAAATAAAAATGGAATTCATATACTGCATACTATCATTAATGGTATTATCTGTATACAGCTACCATGATACAATATCTGTCCCTATAGAGGGCCTTTAAAATCCTCATTTGCAGCAAGCCTGATGTTCCTCTAGAATAATCAATAGTAAAGTCCTATTAAAAAATAGGAAATCCGCATGTACTTTAAATGGCAATGAATGTGATCCCATCTATAAAATGTGCAGGTGGGGAACTTGTTCATAGCCACGTGTCTCTGATGTTTAATGGTAGAACTGGAAGTATTTAAAGTGACACTAAACTCAGGATTTAAATCTTATAAAAACATTAAAATACCTTAACTATTAATAAAAATGTATCTTATTAGTCTATCACTCGGCTTTAGATCCCTCAAATCATCCCTGAATTGGTGCTGACACTGTCCTTCCTTCTGGAGGGGGGCTACTTTTGTTCCCCATGGCCCCTGTGTGTGTTGTAAAGTAGTCACCGCTCCAAGCTCGCTCCCATGATGGACTATTACTTTTATAACAAATTACTAAACTAAACATGAGATTGTAGTCCATCCCGGGAGTGAGCTTAGAGTGGTGGCTACTTTGCAACACACACAGGGACCATGGGGAACAAAAGTAGCCCCCCTCCAGAAGGAAGGACAGTGTCAGCACCAATTCAGAGATCATTTGAGGATCTACAGATGAGTGATACACAAAAAAGAAATACATTTAGTTAAGGTACTTGAATGTATTTTTAGGATTCAACTCCTGAGTTTAGGGTAATTTTAACATTCAACTGGACTTGTTCTGTAACGTGGAAGACGATTCACCAGTCATCCTCAATTTACCAGAAAAAGCCACGTGGATGGATGATGAAACATCTTCAGCATTAGAGGACAACTTCGGTGAAATGTGACTGACTACTACTTTAATAACTATAGCGAACGTAAGCTAGTGACTTAATGTGAAGTGAATCATTCTCTGCTTTAGAATTATTCATACACACAAGATAATAAACTTGCATTACACAAGAGTGTTTAGAGTAAGAACATGACTAAGCTGAGTCAACTTTCTCAGGGTAAAGATCCATATGATCGAAGAGCGGCAAGCTATAGAAACGAATCAAAATGTATTGATCTGCCTTCAGTAAAGAGCACCTTGATTGACTGCTCATTGACTGCTGGGTTAGTGCACTCTTCACTAGCTTGGTTTTTGCAATACCTTATTAAAGAACATCTACAATGGCTTGGAGTCGAGTTTTTGTTACAGTATTTGTTTGTGTAAATTGGAGCTTGAGCTAGTAAAATTGGAGCTTAAGCCAGTAAGTGATATTGTTTGTACAGAAAGAAATACGGAGGCTGCCACTACTGGTCTTCTTCTGAAAACAATTCTTCCTTGGCTGTAGTCGGCTACTAGATTTTTAGTTACAGACCAAGAACAAGCACGCAGCATACTAAGTGACTCGGAGACTGGCTTTTTTAGAGATCAGTAAAGGCTGTCCCCATAATTTTCTTTGTACTTCAAGCTTTGTGTAGAATGTGAACAGGAGAATTTTCATTAATAGGTGTATCTATAAGGTAGTAGACATGTGCGATTCGTTTCGTTCCGGAACGAAATTCGGACGAATTTTCGGAAATTCGGATGTATCCGAATTCCGAATTACAGACATAACGAATGCAAACGAATCCGAATTTCCATTTCCGAAATTCGGTAGCGTTAGTACGAACGTTCGTTTCGTTTTCTGTTCTTATTCGTTTCTTATTCGTTTCGTTCGTTGGAGCAAAGTGACATTAGAGAAGGAGAAAAATATTTTTTCCCCCTCAAATGTCACTTTTGCTGCAAACAAACGAGCGAAACGAATAAGAACAGAAAACGAAACGAACATTCGTACTAACGCTACCGAATTTCGTCCGATTCCGAATTCCGAATCCAAATTGGCTTTCACACCCGAATCCTGAAAAACAAAATAACACAAATCCGAATTTAAAACGAAACAAATTTTTTGGCAGTGCACATGTCTATAACGTAGTGAAAGGTTCAATGTCTGCATTTAGTGTAGAGTAACCAATACAGACCATCAGATGCCGTCCTTTTCCTCATTTCACTACAGGAAAATGAAATATGATTTGTTGTTAGGCTTTATATCACTTAGCAATTGGTCATTCCAATTGTTTATGATCTTTTCTTGTGCAGTGCTAGATTCTCATTTCTATTTTTGTCACCAGATCTGGTTGCAGACATGTATCTAACGGATCCAGTCACAATTATCCTCTCAATTGTTACCTGTACTTTTCTGGCAATTGTTTTGTATGGAAAGAAGAAAAAGGTTCATCCAAACTTCCCTCCGGGACCTCCAGCTTTACCAATTATTGGAAATATGCACATGATAAACATAAAGAAACCCCACCTGACATTTCATGAGGTATGATCCTGGGCATACAAATGTATGATCATCCACAGTTCTTCACATAAAAATTAAAGGCAGGTCACAACCTTCTTCATTTAAGTGACATAGACATTTTCTTCCCTTCTGCTCTCCTCGTGTAAGGCAGAACTCTTGTCAAACAGCTGTAGCACCCTCTTGGTGTTTAGGGACCCCCATGTGGCTTAGTGGGCTGGCACTTCACCCTAGGTTGGATCCTTGACTTGTTAAGGGGTGCAAAAATTGAGCACTAGAAACTTTTGAAAGAGTTAACAGTTTATTTAATCTAAACAACCCTAAGAGAGGGCAATAGGGCACCGTCAAAAAGAACCACAAGCGCACTCAAGTTCTATTCATAATCATTCAGAATAAGATGCCAGACTGGAACTCTGTATATTTGTCAACACAAAGGGGAAAAAAGGAGTCACGCTTATAGTAACAAATATCAATACAGATCTCCCGGGTTTCAAAGATCATATAAAACAAGCAGAGTTCCCCTTAATTAAAGAAATCCTATAATCGGAGCTGTCTATAAGTAAAAAAAACAGGCTATATATTTGTATCAAAATTGAATGAAAAAAGATTTAAAGAGTAATAACAGATATAGAAACACCTAATAACAAGAACATCTAAAATCAATTAAAATGAAACAAGTCCTCCTTGATATGGCCCGAAGTGTCAAATAGTGCTGATAATAATGCAGTGACCACCACAGCTTTTTTGACACAAGCGCTGTGTTTGAAGAAAAAATGAATTTGGGAGTAAAAAAAAGAGATGTACTCACTTATGATGAAGTTGCATGATAAGGCAACGTAGCTCGTATATGCATAGCTCGTATATCCCTCTCGCCGGCTGTTTGAAGTTCTTTTCAAAATAACAGCTACGAGTAAAATCAGCTACATTACAATAGAAGTGGATTCGGCAGCCTGTTTTGCATACTGAGTGTACGCTGCTTGTCCCTGTTAAGTGGACGCTGGCAGATCTCTGACCCGCTACGAGAGGGATATACGAGCTACGGATAAGCTGATGGATCCCCGAACCGCTATGTGAGTGATATACTACCCTGGAGTTCCATTCATCTGCTTTTCCCAGTGCGGCCGCACGTGTGGAATAAAAGCCTCTCATCTCCATTACGGAATACACCAATTGTCACCACTTGGTGGGCGGAAGCCAGTACAGAGGACCGGCAACAGCCCCTGAAGTGTGCACACAACACTATAAGGATGCGATCCTCTGGAATTCAATAACGGACCGTCGAGGCAAACTCTGTGGACAAACTAGTTACTTGCTGGATTTCATCCTTCTCAGGAACTGCCTTATCATGCAACTTCATCATAAGTGAGTACATCTCTTTTTTTTACTCCCAAATACATTTTTTCTTAAAACACAGCACTTGTGTCAAAAAAGCCGTGACTCTTCGACCACTTTGGTGGTCACTGCATTATTATCAGCACTATTTGACACTTCGGGCCATATCAAGGAGGACTTGTTTCATTTTAATTGATTTTAGATGTTCTTGTTATTAGGTGTTTCTATATCTGTTATTACTCTTTAAATCTTTTTTCATTCAATTTTGATACAAATATATAGCCTGTTTTTTTTACTTATAGACAGCTCCGATTATAGGATTTCTTTAATTAAGGGGAACTGTGCTTGTTTTATAAACTCTGTATATTTCTGATTGTTGAGCAGAAGCGGCACACAAACTCCCTGGATGAGCCACTAAACTTCATGTGAGGTCCGATCTTGTACTCATCTTCCCTGAACACTCTTTCTGCAGTGGATCACCCTTGGTCTTCCTATCCAGGTTCCAGATTCACTCCTCCTGAGTAAATCCTTTAACAAGGCAGTGCAGGCCTCAGGCCCTCAGCCTGAATCATATCTTCTTTAAGCACATGTGTGCTTCCTAGGCAGAGCCTGGGAGGCAAGAAGAACTACCAGAAGGTTCTCCCAAATATTTTATTTTCTCCTATAGCATGCAACATTGTGAATAAATCTCCTAGTGGTTGGTCAATGAGATGAAAATATTCTTAAATCAAGCTTTTGTGACATTTTTGGAATCTAGCACTTGACACCCTGCCTATACCATGTATATTATGTCAAGAACAAGAGCACAAAATAGCACATAAAGCCTTTGTATTAGGCTATAACTGAAGTTTTTTTTTATTTTATTTAAAATTTTTATTTCAGGTTTTACCATGAAATAAAAATTCAGCATTGCAAAACATATTAGCCTTATCACTAGGCATCATATGAAGAGTGAGAGAGAGGCAAGGCACTTTTTATTAAGAAATACAAAAAGTGCCATGAATTATTTCATAGAGAAAAGAGCCAGAAATACACCACATATACCCAGTACATCATGGAAGCCTTTTTAGTAGGCCACATTTGAAAAGAAAGAGTGAGACGAGGCATTTTTTATACAAAACTACAGTGGATTTTATCAGAGACCTACTCAGTACCAACTAGAAACGGCTGCACCACTAGACTGAGTCCTAAAAAGGACTATTGGGTCTATTCACTGTCACTACAGTGGGTGGTACATACGGCAATGTAGTTTACGGTAATGGAGCACTGAACCGCACAGTAATAACGGGGGCCCAGCACACTTAAATTCACTGTAAAGTAGCAGTGGCAATATAGAGCACTTTATATAGCAGTGGATATTACACTGTGTAGCTCTGCAGGTAGCACATAAGCACTGTACACTTCTACTCCTCAACACACACTGAAGAAAGGCTGATGGGAGAGGTGACTTTCATAAGGAGGGGGCTGGCATATTTGTCGATCCCTATTATTGCCCATACTATAGCACCTGACCAGTGAAAATTTGTGAAATTCCTGGTCTTTGTGATTTTGCATGCCTGATCCCTGCACTCTGAGTGTTACTTACTCCCGAATTCTTCACTATGTGTGTTATGCACTTCAGGCTCCTGCACTCTTGACTGAGTAGGCTCAGGTTTTATTTATTCATACCCCTTTAGGTAGCTCCCACTGTTACGGCATTTTCACCACACAGTTCACATCATTTCTCCACCTGGGGTACCCAAGACATTTATATCTGTTTCTTGTTCTAGAAGTCTGGGTCCAATTGTTTGAGGGTATGTTAAAAATGGAGACATGATGTTGTGAGTGTGACTACAAATGGGGGTGTGTTTAGTGGTTGTGGTTAAAATGAGCATGGTCATTAGGCATAAACAAATTTAAATAGGAAAATCTGGTAAATATTTCATAATACAGTAGATGCAAAATAGCAGCTAGAGAGGTCTGGGAGTCCTTCAGAAAAATAAGGAGCCAAGCTGTTATTCAACTTCTCGGAAAGTAATTTGATACAATTCAGGTTAAAAAATGTAATGCAAGTTGGATTTTTGGGAATAATAATGATTTCTCTATTACATTCATTGCAGCTTGCTAAGAAATACGGCTCAGTGTACAGCCTACAGATAGGGCCACAGAAGATAGTTGTGCTGTCCGGCTATGAGGCGGTGAAAGATGCCCTAGTCAACCACGCCGAGGTGTTTGTCGATAGACCACATGTGCCATTTTTCAAGGACTTAACTAAGGGAAACGGTAACATTAACAATTTCTAAGAGTTTACAGTTCAATAGTGAATATAAATGGTTTTTTGTGGCCCCCCACAAGGTTGCAGTCACCCTTAGACAGAGAAATATGTGTGAAATACTAGTAGCACGCTCATTTAAATCAGAGAGAAAAACCCAGCCACACACCATGTCCCGTATGTCAGTATTTTATTGCAGATCACACAACATTAACCAGTCCTGCCTCAGGTCCACCTGCACTGATGCATTTTACCCAATCATGGTTTAGTCCACACAGCATCATTGGTTGCTATATTGTTATGAATCACCTGCACTCCATACAGTGCTGCAACCTTAGAGGATGGTGGTGCTCGTAATGAAGACATGGATGGTGCCATGTGGAATGCCAAAGAAGATCACCGGCACACACAGCATCACTGTGTTTCCCCAAGTAAGGGAACCAACATGGCTCAGAAAAGTTGGCCATGTATGACACATGGTGACAATGATTCAATAAGACATAATAGGTCAATGACACATTGGGTTTGTGCTGGCAACTATCTGATCTTTATTGGTTGCTATGATGCAGGCTGGGGTCACAGAACGTCATGGGTTACTAGGATGCAGGCAGCCACCAGCTTCCTAGTAACCAATGAAGGGAACGAACTTGGTCTTGGGTAAGAAACTAACATTTAGGGGGTTATTCACTTAGCAGCTGAAGGCAGCCGAGTGAATAACCGAGCCGAAGCGAACAGAGCCAAACGACGTTTGGCTATTCACTCCAGGCTCAGTACGGCTAATTTCAGCCGTGCATCAGTTGCCTTCAGTCAGCCGAACATGCTCTGCATGATCGGCTTTGCCAAAGTGCAGAGAAACATAGGGGCCGAATGGCAGTGAGAGAATAGCTGAATGCCGCTGAGCGGCATTTGGCTCATATTGGCAGCCAGCTGCCTTGACGTCACGGCCCGCTTTGTCCAGTTGTTATTGTTTAATGACAGATCAGCATCCCCAGGTCATTTGGGGATGCTGATCTACCATTACAACCAGGCGCAGCCAGCCCTGAGATCACGGCTGACAATTGGGTGGAGCAAGCGGTGACAGCTAGCTCCGCCCAACTGTTTCCTATTGGCCGCCAGCTGCCTTGACGTCACGGCCCGCTCTGTCCAGTTGTTATTGTTTAATGACAGATCAGCATCCCCAGGTCCCCAGGCTCCGGCCAGCTGTCATTTGCTTCAACCGACCTTTCTCCACGCTTCGGGTGTCACTACGGCTATGCCGAGCCGAAGCATATGGGTTCAGCTCAGCTGCCTTCGGCTGCTGTACGGGTTATTGTGAAGTGAAGGGCAGAGGCGGCTGAAGCGAGTCGAATGATCAGCCGAAGCTACGACTGGATCCTTTGGCTTTTTAGTGAATAACTCCTTTAGTAGGGATTAGTCGAACACCCCCGTGTTTGGTTCGTATTCGAACATTCGAACCGCCGAAATGTACGAACTCGAACGTAATGCAAGTGTATGGGGGTCGAATGTTCGACCCCCATACAGCAGCCGGTACATGTGGCTGCAGCAGCCTGTGTCCCTTCAAATCCCCGCTGTTCTCCCCGCCTGTGTTGGCGGAGGCATCGGGAACACAGACCACTGCATAGCTCCTCTGCCCCCGTACCTCTGCTGCTGTCTTCCCCTGGTCCGTTGGCTTCTCCGTTCCCCCGTCCGGCCGCGGCACCTCGTCTTCTTCCGGTCTGTCTGCACCTCCTCTTCTGCCGGTCTGTCTGCTCTTCTTCCCGGGTCCGTCCGCTCCACTTCTCCCGGTTCGTCCACTTCTCCTCTGCCCCACCCCCCTGCCTTCTTTTCATCTGCAGGCAGAGGCGGCTCTAGAGTTTGCGAGGCCTTAGGCGAAACCTAAACATGAGGCCCCACTCAGGCCTGTGGGGTCTCACCGGGCTGTCGGGTTTAACCAGGATGGTGAGACGATAAGCTCCGCCCTCCCAGCCAGCCTCGTGCGGTGGATGGGAGGAGTGAGGTCTCTTCTCATTGGCTGGTGGGCGGAGCTCCAGAAGACAGTGGATGGACCGCACCGATGATCGAGGAAACGGATGAGCTCTCAGCCCTGTCGCTATCGCTCCTGTCAGTTTGACAGCGACAGGGCTGAGAGCTCACAACGTTTCCTGGCTGCGAGCGAGGTGATATGCCGTTCTGACAGGGCAAACTAGGCGGCCGCGAGGCCCTCGGGAGCGCGAGGCCTAAGGCGACCGCCTAATTTGCCTAATTAAAGAGCCGCCTCTGTCTGCAGGCTTTGAGCCATACCCAGCCTGCTATTGGATATTGTAAAATGCAATAGCCAATAGCAAGCTGGCTATTGCACCCGCCCACTGCCTGCTGTCAAACAGCATGGGGGGACCTGATAGAGAACTTTCTCCTTCAAGCCCCTCCTCCGCTGAGCCCTGATTGGGCAAAGTCTTGCACCTGACCTGTGGTCAGGTGCAAGACTTTAACAAATCAGAGCTTCAGTGGGCATTTTGTATTATGGAATGTCCGCGGTCGAACAAACCGCGAACATTCCATAAAGTTCGGCGTTCCCCGAACGCTCGAACTCATGTTCGAATCGAACACTCGGCCCATCCCTACTCTTTAGTGGTGGTAGTGCTACTACCACTAAACAAATTACTTCCTGCAGCAGTTGGAGGGTCGCTGTTGTCGGGCGGGCGAACAATCCATTCAATTTGCCCGTATGTTGAACTACAAACAGGCAGAGTTTGAGGCGAACCCTGTGACACTGCGAACTTGAACCTCATCCCTTACACTGACCCCACCACATGTGGAATCATGGAGGTGTCTTCATCCACATAAACCTTCCAGCCATTAAATCAAAGGAAGAGGTTATAAAAAAATACATCCAACTGATAGATTGCTTGTTTCATTTTTCTTCAGGTATTTTGTTTTCTAATGGTGACAACTGGAAAGCCATGAGACGGTTCACTCATTCTGCTCTGCGAGATTTGGGGACCCGGAGCACAACAATAGAAGATAAGATCAGTGAAGAATGCAGACATCTAGCAGACACATTCAAAGCCTACAAAGGTCAGGAACGAGTTATGTTTGTGTTGATACAGTAGATTTCTTTGTTGAGCCGTGTATTAACTTTTTTACCCAGTGAACTTGAACTTCTGTAAACAAGCTGGTTACACACAATAAAATGTTGCTTCAGATTTGATCTATCAGATCTACAAAATGTATCAGCAGCTGAGAAAAGTGAAGGTGCACTTCAATGGATATCATTAGAAGTGATTGACATGTCAGGGCCCCACACATTGCTGCCATTAAAAAAAAATTGAAAGAGCAAATCAGCAAATCATGTACTGTATGTGAGTTTCAGCCTTTATACACTGCCTGGCCAAAACAAAGTCCCCACCTGGATTTCGAGCAGTGTTATGATCTGGAGTTGCTTCAGCTGGTCAGGTCTAGGGTTCATCAACGTTAAAAATTAGGTCAGCAGCCTCCCTTAATATACTGAATGATCAGGTTTTTCCGTCAATTCATTTTTTCTTCCCTGATGGCACATTGGGCATATTCCAAGATGACAATGCCAGGATTCATTGGGCTCAGATTGTGAAAGAGTGGTTCAGGGAGCATGAGACATCATTGTCACACATGGATTGGCCACCACAGAGTCCAGACCTTGACTCTATTGAGAATCTTTGGGATGTCTGGAGAAGACTTTACGCAGTGGTCCGACTCTCCCATCATCACTACAAGATCTTGGTGAAAAATGAATGCAACTCTGGATGGAAATAAATGTGACATTGCATAAGCTTAACGAAACCATACCACGGCGAATGCGTGCGTAATCAAATATGAATGCATGCGTAAATAATTCAACGAAATTGAAGAGTGTGTGACTTTTTTGGGCCAAGCAGTGTATTTGCACTCTGTACTGTGAAGATTTACAAAACATTTATAAAGCTTTCTGCAGCGTTCTTGAGATCTGCTCTGTCATTAGGATACAGACAGTGGCTGAACAATAGCTGTGGCAGCCAACACAGCTGCTATGGGGCCTGGGGGTGGGAGAGGGGCCCGATTAGGAATTCTGATGAGGCAAATTAAACCTAGACAATGAAAATAACACTGATCCAGTACTCAATTATAGGGGAATGAGTTTGCAGTTGACCTTACTTCTGCCTTCAGTTAGGAGTAGATTTGCCTTGTATGCCTAACAGCCTTCCAGAGGCATTAAAACAAAAAAAAAAAATAAACCCAAACAAAAACATGTCAAAAGCAGATTTTTTTGTCACCTTCTTAAAAATCTAAATCTAGGAAAAAATGTTTGTAATGTATAATATGTGCAGTTTACAGATTTGTTAAAGGGCGCACCTAAAACTGATTTTTATGTCATGCTTCACTGGCTTTGTACATAGCTTAGGGCATGCTTGTACTCCTGCACTTGGAAGTTCCTACAAATGTTTTAACACATTATAGTTCAAAATGACGAAAAAATACAGGCGCCTTCAATTACAGGGTGCCCAGCAATTAGATGCAACAAACACGAGAGAGGCAGCTCCCACAGGTCAGATTGACCACCAGTCTAAGAAACAAGGAACAAAAGAAAGCACCTCCATAGTGTAAAAGAGTGATTTAATAATTAAAACACGCAGCTCTAAGGCTGTACTTACAACAATTCATTTGAATAAAAACCAGTAGAGTAAGATGAGAAGTCGAGACCTCTAGCAGGGAGAGTCTGGAGTGATGAAATTCACCAGCGTCCTCTATCCCTGTGTTAGCAAAAGGTTTACGCGTTTCTGGGGCACGCCCCCTTCATCAGAACCTATGCTTACATTATAGTTCATTTATGCACATTGAAGCTTTACATTTGTTTTGTAACTTTCATATGCATTTTGTTTTCCTATGTAAGAAAAAGGTTTCGCTTTCCTGTGTTTGGATGTGGTAAAAATTTGCAAAAGTTCATCATACATATGTATTTACCATTCTTATCTCTGGGGCTGAAAGGGAAAATCAAAATGCAATATGTACTGTTTAAAAAAATGGAATACACTGCAATACATAGCAATAGTGCTACTCGACTTCATTCCTGAAATACTGCTGTTGGCAGTTCATGGTTGCAGGAGTTCCCTTAAAGTGACACTAAAACTCCGGAGTTAAACCTTTAAAATGCATTGAAGTTCCTGAACTATGAACAACAATGTATCTTATTTGTGCATCACTCGGCTGTAGAGCCTCAAATCATCTCTGAACTGGTGCTGACACTGTCCTTCCTTCTGGAGGGGGGCTACTTGTGTTCCCCATGGTCCCTGTGTGTGTTGTAAAGTAGTCACCGCTCCAAGCTCACTCCTGTGATGGACTACAATCTCAATACTAATTAGTAAACTGAACATGAGATTGTAGTCCATCACAGGAGTGAGCTTGGAGCGGTGACTACTTTACAACACACACAGGGACCATGGGGAACACAAGTAGCCCCCCTCCAGAAGGAAGGACAGTGTCAGCACCAATTCAGAGATTATTTGAGGCTCTACAGCCGAGTGATATAGAAATAAGTTACATTTTTGTTAATAGTTAAGGGACTTGCAAGCATTTTAAAGGTTTATCTCCTGAGTTTAGTGTCACTTTAATTTTTATTGAGAGTTTTATTAAAAATTGGCCAGCGGCAAAACAGTTTGTATCTTGCTGCTAGAACCACCTGGAATAAAGCCTTTTTCAAACTGGGGTGCTGCTATGTATAAGCCAAACTTAGAAAATTATGAATACCCTCAAGGTTAGAGACCCCATCCATGAGCAAAAAGTATTTTTAGCATATTGAAGTTTTTATATCACAGATTTTAATCTCGCATGAAACTTTCATATGGGATTAAAATTTGTGATATAAAAAATGAAATATGCTTTGAAATACGTTTTGCTCATGGATGGGATCTCTAAACTTGAGGGTATTCATAATTTTCTATATTTGCAAAAAGAGACCCGTGAGCTATGTTGATACCATATATGTAATTGCAAACCCCAATCCCTCATTCGTATATAGCATAAGCCAAACTTACCCTAACGTAACAGAAAGAACAATGAATTGTATAGACATATACGTGCTGCCAATGCACACTGTCTCACTGTCTGTAAAAAGCATACTGTTCCATAACAGCACATGCAGCTTCAGCCATGCCCCGAGCATGTTATTTAAAGGGCCTCTGTATTTTCAAAGCCACATAAATAGACCTTATACCTGCTTTGCTTTTTTTTTTTCCATTAGTACATATCTCCGATGGCAGTGTCCAGCTTCCAATACCTTTTTGGATAGTGGTTTGCCTTTTATCCCACACAATGGACAGAATCTACTAACAGACTTCACCACTAATAAAGAAGCATGTCTTCCTCTCAGATCCTTGTCTTTCACAACATTATAGGTGGAATTTATCAAAACTAGAGCAGGCAGAATCTGGAGCAATTGCCCATGGCAACCAATCAGCTTCTCATTTGCAAAGCTTAACTGAACAAACTGAAGAGAGAAGCTGATTGGTTTCCACCAGCAACTGCTCAAGATTCTGCCTGCTCCAGTTTTGATAAATTCCCCCCATGTGTATTACTAAAATGTAGGCGCTCTTTAAACATATTATTGATTATTCTTTATTGTTATTGAAGGAAGACCATTTGAAAACACCAGCATTCTGTACGCTGCAGTGGCCAATATCATCATCTCCATCGTATTGGGCCATCGCTTCAACTATGATGATCCAAAATTCTGCAGGCTTTTGGCAATTAATAATGAAATAATCAGAATCATTGGTTGTCTAATGGTACAGGTAAGTTCCCCTTTATTGCAAAAGCCAATTATGGGTGGATGCTGCTGGTTATTTTTATATTTGCCTGGGAAACTGTTTCATCAGGACAACCCCACAAGAACTAAATGCTCTCCTCCTTCAGGATAACTCCGTAAGAACTAAGAGCTCTCCTCCTTCAGGATAACCCCACAAGAACTAAGAGCTCTCCTCCTTCAGGATAACCCCACATGAACTAAGAGCTCTCCTCCTTCAGGATAACCCTGTAAGAACTAAGAGCTCTACTCCTTCAGGATAACCCCACATGAACTAAGAGCTCTCCACCTTCAGGATAACCCCACAAGAACTAAGAGCTCTCCTCCTTCAGGATAACCCCACATGAACTAAGAGCTCTCCTCCTTCAGGATAACCCCATAAGAACTAAGAGCTCTCCTCCTTAAGGATAACCCCACAAGAACTAAAAGCTCTCCTCCTTCAGGATAACCCCACATGAACTAAGAGCTCTCCTCCTTCAGGATAACCCCCTCAAGAACTAAGAGCTCCCCTCCTTCAGGATAACCCAACAAGAACTAAGAGCTCTCCTCCTTCAGGATAACCCCCTCAAGAACTAAGAGCTCCCCTCCTTCAGGATAACCCAACAAGAACTAAGAGCTCTCCTCCTTCAGGATAACCCCCTCAAGAACTAAGAGCTCCCCTCCTTCAGGATAACCCAACAAGAACTAAGAGCTCTCCTCCTTCAGGATAACCCCCTCAAGAACTAAGAGCTCCCCTCCTTCAGGATAACCCAACAAGAACTAAGAGCTCTCCTCCTTCAGGATAACCCCCTCAAGAACTAAGAGCTCCCCTCCTTCAGGATAACCCAACAAGAACTAAGAGCTCTCCTCCTTCAGGATAACCCCCTCAAGAACTAAGAGCTCCCCTCCTTCAGGATAACCCAACAAGAACTAAGAGCTCTCCTCCTTCAGGATAACCCCCTCAAGAACTAAGAGCTCCCCTCCTTCAGGATAACCCAACAAGAACTAAGAGCTCTCCTCCTTCAGGATAACCCCCTCAAGAACTAAGAGCTCCCCTCCTTCAGGATAACCCAACAAGAACTAAGAGCTCTCCTCCTTCAGGATAACCCCCTCAAGAACTAAGAGCTCCCCTCCTTCAGGATAACCCAACAAGAACTAAGAGCTCTCCTCCTTCAGGATAACCCCCTCAAGAACTAAGAGCTCCCCTCCTTCAGGATAACCCAACAAGAACTAAGAGCTCTCCTCCTTCAGGATAACCCCCTCAAGAACTAAGAGCTCCCCTCCTTCAGGATAACCCAACAAGAACTAAGAGCTCTCCTCCTTCAGGATAACCCCCTCAAGAACTAAGAGCTCCCCTCCTTCAGGATAACCCAACAAGAACTAAGAGCTCTCCTCCTTCAGGATAACCCCCTCAAGAACTAAGAGCTCCCCTCCTTCAGGATAACCCAACAAGAACTAAGAGCTCTCCTCCTTCAGGATAACCCCCTCAAGAACTAAGAGCTCCCCTCCTTCAGGATAACCCAACAAGAACTAAGAGCTCTCCTCCTTCAAGATAACCCAACAAGAACTAAGAGCTCTCCTCATTCAGGATAACCCTGCAAGAACTAAGAGCTCCCCTCCTTCAGGATAACCCCCTCAAGAACTAAGAGCTCCCCTCCTTCAGGATAACCCAACAAGAACTAAGTGCTCTCCTCCTTCAGGATAACCCCGCAAGAACTAAGAGCTCCCCTCCTTCAGGATAACCCAACAAGAACTAAGAGCTCTCCTCCTTCAGGATAACCTAACAAGAACTAAGAGCTCTCCTCCTTCAGGATAACCCTGCAAGAACTAAGAGCTCCCCTCCTTCAGGATAACCTCACAAGAACTAAGAGCTCTCCTCCTTCAGCCTTTTCTTGGACCTGCCACTGGGGACAAGTACCAATGCATAACAAAAATTAAAAAAATGCCAAACAGCAAGCAGAGGGTCCTTCTCTGGTTAAGAGAACAGCCAATGCCTACAATGCCTACTACTCCCAATTCCTTGGGGTCAGTACGATAAAATGTTTTCTTTTTTATGATATCACCAGCACACCACAAGCATTCTACATGGGAAAATGTAATCAATTATATGAGACAAAAGCAACGTATTGGGTCATACTCTGTTGTTTGGATGATTAACATTAAGCCTTAATGGGTGTGCATCAATGGGTCCATCCACCACTGGATTCACCAAGGAGCCGTATCCCCTTTCACCTCCTGGGGAGCATGATTATTGATTATCTATACAAATGGCTGCCATGTGTACATATTAGAATGAACATATCTTTGTTACACACCACCCTGATGAAGTGGCCAGTGGTAGCCACAAAACAAGTTGAAGGTGTAGTATATGTACCTACTTATTCTATGAAAATTCCCTGTTTTGTGAATAAAACCTGCTTTGAACCTTTATATCTTGTTGGACCAACCAGATACCCCTCCCTAATTTTGTGAACCTTATCACCAACACCTACACTGTTGGTGTCAGTGGGAGCAAAATAAATGTTAAATCATTAAGGGCCAGTGAAACCAAAGGTAACCCAAAAATGTTAGTGTCAGTGGGAGCAAACCGATCTCATATCTATAGGGTGGATTTATAAAACTTCTACCCAATCATATGCTGGGTGAATTCCATAAGCTCCTTGGTTCCACCTGGTGGCAGAAATGGCATTCAAATGGCATTTACCCAGCATATGACTGGGCTAAAGTTGTATAACTCAACCCCTTAGTGTCAATGTGATAAAATAAGCCCCATTTATGGTGTGAATGGGAGTAAAATAAGTCCCATGGTTGGTGTCAGTGGAAAAGAATATGCCCTTGTATTGGTGTCAATGGAAAAAATATACCAGAAATTATTGATGACATTAGAATCAAAAGTAATCCAATGACCGCAAGAATAAGCATTGGTGTTCAGTTGTTACTTACCTGAACATACCCCACTGCTACATTCTCCTGGATGCTGCATGCAAACACTGCTGAATGTAAACACTGCGAAACACTTGGCAACTATGAAAGTTAACACGTCCTTTAATGAGTGACAGTGAGAACAAGAAGCATTGGTGTTCAGTTGATACTTACCTGGACATACCCTACTACTACTTTGTACATTCTCCTGGATCGTTAACATGTGCTTTAATGAGTTTCCCCGGGAATCTCAGGGAGCTCTATACCAAATAGGGGCTGATGTATAAAGAATTTAGAAAAAATGTCTTAATATGTTTTATTTCAGCTGTATAATGCATTCCCATCTCTGATCCGATGGTTTCCTGGAAGTCACAAACAAGCTCATCAGATCCTGTATGAAATGCACGCCTTTATTAGAGAAACCTTCACCAATCAGAATAATAAACTGGATGTCTATGATCAGAGGAGTTTAATTGATTTCTTCCTTGTCAAGCAAAAAGAGGTAGAACTCATTTTATATTACATACCTGATTATGTGATATTTTTATTAACAGTCCATTCACACCGGATCTGTTGCAATGCAATACATACAGGTGAAACTCGAATAATTAGAATATCGTGCAAAAGTAATTGCAGTAAGTGCTGCAAAAGGGGCCCAAACCAAGTACTGAGTACATATGCATGCTTGTACTTTTCAGAGGTCCGATATTGTTCTATGTACAATCCTTGTTTTATTGATTGCATGTAATAATCTACTTTTTTGAGGTTGTGGATTTGGGGTTCTTGGGGTTTTCATGAGCTGTAAGCCATAATCATCACAATGATGACAAATCACGGCTTGAACTATCTTGCTTTGCATGTAATGAGTCTATCTCATATATTAGTTTCACCTTTTAAGTTGCATTAGTGAAATAAATGAACTTTGCACGATATTCTAATTATTCGAGTTTCACCTGTATTTCACGGATACTAATGGCAGGGCATTGAAAAATGAATGGGTGTCAATGGGGCTAGTTCACACCACTCCATTCTGTTGCATTACACTGCATTGTGCTGAAAAAAAAAAGGAGAACATGCACTGCTTTATTTCAGCACAAAGTAACGCAGCAAATCCATTGTTATCTAGCTCTATTCACACCCATTCATTTTTCAGTGCCCTTCCATTAGCATCCGTTAAAAAAATGTATTGCAACGCAACCGATTGGAAGGAAATCAGAAGGTACAATTGCAAGTCAATTAACCCTCCATTAACTTGTGATTTCCTTCCACTTTTGGTGTGAATGCACCCTAAAGGTTAAGTCTGTCCTTCAGATCTGATGTATTAGCCATTAAATTATCAATAGGAGACTTCAATGACGAGTTCACAGCACCACTTAACTGCTGTTGCTATTGAAATAGTTCTTAAATACAATGATTTGCCTTTAGATGTCTTCTTTTCTAGATTGGAGCCCTGAAATCTGGGCTGATGTAATTGTGACATTTCCTGGTAGTGTCTGTGAAGGTTCTCATTCATCCAGGTCATGGTATATCTGTAAAAATAAGTCAAGGCAACTGGACTTGCTGTATTTTTCTTGAAGACGTTGCACTGGACAGCCGACCAGCTTTCTCAATTCAGAACTTGTAAAAACATTCTCTGGAAATAAATATGGTGAATGTTGCTCCAATCCACATAATCTGTTAGTCACAACCAGGTGTTAATTGCATTGGCATAATTGGGTTGTTTTGATGTGTTAATAACCTTCCCAGAGAGAGGTGTTAAAACAGCATTGTATGTGGCAGACAATAGATGTCTCACTCCCCCCTCCCCCCTCCCCCCCACCTCTATTCAAGCTTGGCTTCTCCATTTTTACATAAATGGCCTCTTTCACACCTCTTTTGAACCAGTCCTGTAATACACACATGCAGCATGCAGTACAAACACACAGGGCTTCACCAGCAGACACCCACTGCTCATGCTGCCCTGATGCAGGCTGTAGTCCCCTCACCCATCCAGGTGCAAAGGCCAGCGTCCAAGGCAATAGAAGAGCCACCTCCTCCAGCACACACAGCATGGAGATGGAGGGAATCCACCCAGCTCTTCCCTCCATGTGACCCGCTCTGCTCTGCGATCATCCAGCGCTATGCTCTCAGTGCTGAGATGCAGGGCCAGTGGTAGGAGTTTTGCAGTGCAGGACCTGCTTAAGGGGCAGCTGCTTTGGGCCCCACAGCAACGACTGGGCCCTGGGCAGCTGCCCCTTTTGCCCTGAGTTAAAGACAGCCCTGATTATCGTAGATAGCCAAACTGGGCAACAGTAAGGTGGGAGTCGGTAGGGCTATTGATTAACATTTCTGGGAAATGTCTAGATTTAGCACTTGGTATTTGGAGCTCTATGCTATATCCAGTCAATTCTAAGGCAAATATGATTGACTGTAAACTGTATGAATTTTCAGGAAAAGCCAAATCCCAATTTACATTTCACGGATGCCAATTTGGCATTTCTTGTCTCAGACTTATTTGGGGCTGGAATGGAATCAACTGCAACAGCCCTCCGATGGGGCCTCCTGCTAATTATGAAATACCCAGAAATCCAGAGTAAGTGATTCATTTTGTGTGCTATTGACATTGGTTAAGGTAGTGTGTTATCCATTGACCTCCGTCCTCTCAGCTATCTGAAGGATGACCTAAACCACATGACTGAATTAATGACTGCTTGCACTGATTCATGTAGTATTACATTTAGGCCAAACAGTGAATGATAATGACTGTAAGATGCACACCACCACCAAAAGGCTAGGACTGCACTCCCAGAGTCATTAAAATGCAATAGATAAATAGAATGTTGTCTTCAGTGACCACCAGAATCTTTCCCCATGTCTGTAGGGCCCTTTTACATCCTCTTCATTAATACTACTGTAATGGAAATCAAGTAAAATGACCATTTGTTTTAATATAGATATATGTAGCTACTCTTTCTACATTCCTTGATAAAAATGACTTCTCCTCTATCTGCACCTCCCTCCCATCGTGTGAATAACAAGAAACTAAGATGGCGCCTCCTCTCGGGACTACACCCAAGATAACGATGTTTTAGCTCCTGGAGGAAGTTTACCTTATATGGACATAACCAATCAGAAGCTTATAACGCTACGCTCACATGACCTTGGCACACAGCACTAGCTGCTTGTCTATATAAATCTTCGTGCCTTAGCGTAATAAAGAACAGAAGCGTTATAGACCATAATCTTGTGTCTGTGTGATGCTTCCGGTGCAACATAATTAGGAACAGCAGCAGATATCTTGTGTGAACCCAGTTGTGGTTCTGATCCATTTCACTACAAAGGCTCCCCATCCAGAGTAGATTAGAGTAGAAATGAAAAAGACACAATGGTTTAATTGATGCTCCTCCTTCTTCTGTAGATACTAGTTGCCTAGCTGGCTGTGGCACCATAGTTTGAGTCATTGACCTTGAGCAAGCATTCAGAAACCAATGTCAGAGTGATGTCAGAACTCCTGGTCCATGTACTTGTCGATAGTCAATGATTATAAGTCCTGAAAACTCTGGATAAGGCAGTTAGGAAACTAGCATTTATAGCTGCTGACCTTATACTTGGGTCTTTCTTAGATGTTATGTTATAATGTTGAGATATTGAGGGCATGGTGCTTAAAGCGGACTTTTACCCATATCAAGTGAAACTTCTCATTACCCCAACATGTAAACACAAAGGCTTCTCTATAAACGATTTCATTACATGGTTCAAACACACTTCTTCTTTCCACAAAAGAAGACTGAACAGTGTTGCTATTGATATGCAAATGTGGACTTTTTATGAAAAGTCAACAACTAAGCTCTCATCTCCATCTCCGACCATTCACTTACACTTATACAGAGAGTAGTGACATGTGACTGTCATAGAAAGAGCAAAGGTGTCTTTGAAGTGCGAGCTGTAAGGGATAGGGTGGGGAGGAGACCTGTAAGTGTTACTAATGCCTCAGACAAAAATTATGTCTCCTCCCTTGCCTCACAGGGCTATGCTGTGTGGCGAAACTGTGTAAACCTCAGGACCAGAAATACAAATTCTTTATCAGGTAACACAACTCTAATATATGTATCCCTAGCTTATATGTGTCCATAATCACCGTCCTGATGTGGTGGTTGGTGCATCACTGGTTGCCAGGAGCTGGGAGGTACATGGGCCAGAGCATCCCGCTCAACTCTTGCCAGGATCTGGGAGGGTTGCTGGCCAGAAAGTCCCAGGTTGCTAAGAGCTGGGCGGTGGAAATTCAGAGCTCTTACACATCTGCCCCCCATGTGACCCAAAGAGATGCCATCTGAGGCAACAGCTGCCTTGTTATAGGGCTGGCCCTGGCTATACCCTTGCAGTTTAGCTTTAAAAACACATGTTTTAATATAGAATCAACTGCATGGGCTGAGAGGCTATTTAGAATGAATGGATATCTAAACATTTCAACACTACTAGAATGGGCACCATTAACAAACAAGAAGTAAGATTGAAGTTATCTCAAAGGAAGAAAACCCTTTTAAATAAATCTCTCTGTCTTTATTTCACTGACAGGAAATGTTCAGAATGAAATAGAGAAAGTAATTGGTTCAGGAGAAGCTCGTCTGATGCACAGAAAAGACATGCCATATACTGATGCCGTCATACATGAAATACTAAGATTTGGTAATATTGCACCAACGGGTGTTCCACATTCTACTAGTCAAGATGTGACCTTGAAGGGATTTTTTATACCTAAAGTACGTATCATGTTTTACGTTATTATTCATTACAAGAACTGAGCAAAATATCAAATGCATACTGGGAAAAATAGCAGGTTTACTCTACATAGAATAAGCAGAATTTACATGCCATCCACTTGCTCTCACCCATACACCCTCCCAGTTCCAATCCAATGCAAGGACATACAAGAATTTCCACTATGTAAGAACACGTGGGAATTCATCTGCTTCCCCACAACTCATTGCTTGGTGCCCAAGCAGCAAACCAATGAGCCCAAGTGCTGTCGTGTGGTAACGGGGTGGGGTAGTATGCATATCCCCATGTAGGTTTGATTAGATCAGCAAGTTGAAGCTCAGGCAAGAAACTTGGGTGGGCTGGTGACATACTGGATAGCATAGCTGGGACTTGGTGACCACTCTGTTTTCCACCAGTTAAGGTTATGGCCACACCAGTACAATTGTACTGCCTATGCAGGGGATCAAGAATAGACTTCTTCTGAACACTGATCAGATCCCAGGGTCTGCAACTCTGCTGGTGGGATCTGTGAACTTCACATCAAGGTTTATCCATTTGTCAGCTATTAGACTACAGACAAAGAGCTAAAAACACAGCTGGTATGCACATACAGTATGTCAGCTGTCTGATCTGTGTAAGGACTTGATCTGTCCAGCCATTTGGGTGATTGATTGATTCATATCTGCCAGACAGTACAACCAGGAGGGTGATACCACTTTCTTAGTTAAAGTTATGGAATATGGTAGTGTTAGCTTCCTACCTGCAGCCTGCTGATTGGGCCAACAGACTGATGAGTCCTCAATGCTGCTCACTCTGCTCCTTTTCCTGTGCATGCGGCAGGGACCGATTACTACTAATGCTGCCCCTAGCATTTAACACAACTGGAGTCATGCAAAGATTTCTTGGCGGTGATAGAGGAAAATAATTTCCTTTAGGAAGATTGCTTCATGTAAATATAAATGTCAGTCAGTGAGATGAAGGGGGTGTATACATACAATTTGTAGCTCTTAAATACAATCACAAAAAGAGGACACTGAGCTTGCCAAGTGGCCCCCTAACCACAGGTTCTAAAGGATGTACTGAGCCAAATGGCTGATAACACACTTCCATGTTCCTCACTGAGCTGGACATGCAGCATTCAGGCCAAGCTAAGCCTTTTCTGACAAAATAATTATTGGCTGAGCAGTGTCCACAATACATGGGTGCTGCACGTAATGCCCATGTGAATTTATAGCATCCCAAACACTAGGGATGCACCGATACCGATACCAGTATCGATGTCGGCGCCAATACCGAGTATTTGGGCGAGTACTCGTACTCGCCCAAATGCTCCGATGACTAGCCCGATACTTCCTGTATCAGGAAGCCGGGCAGCATGTCATTACATTCTGCCCAGTTTCCTGATTGGCCTGGAGGCGGCTCCATGCTCTCTCGTCACTTGTGATTGGGATTCGGAAATGCAGATGTATCCAAATGTTCGAATTGCAGTAAATTCAGACAAATTTTGATTCATAATGAAACGAAACTCACATGTCTGATACCCAACAAGCTGGTCAGATGGTCCACCAAGGTCTGGCTATATTACTGTTATTGTTGTTGTTATTATTATTAACCTCTTGCCGTCCGCCCGTAGTAAAAAAACGGACGGACGGCACTGCAGCATCTGCGGGTTGCCGTCTCCAGACGGCAATTTTTTTCTGCTATGTACAGCGCCATCTTTCATACAACCGATTGTCCCTGAGTGCATGTCGTATATGACTTTGAGTTTGACAATCAGATGCAATACACTTAGTTATGTCCTATCCAAAGGTCTCTCTTTTAAATCCTTTGCAGGGCACGCAAGTCATTGCATTGCTGTATTCTGTACTAAAAGACAAAGACCACTTTGAGAAACCAGAAGAGTTCTACCCTCAGCATTTTCTGGACTCTAATGGAAACTTTGTTAAGAATGAAGCTTTTATGGCATTTTCTGCTGGTGAGTAATTAAAAGAGCTGAAACCATAAAAAGTGTTACAAACCTGGGCCATAGCCAGTCATTTCATAAAGTGGCAAAATGGAGAAAAGAGAATACAAACCTCCATTAGACATTTGCACCCACGTGACAGCTGCATTGGATAGAAGACTTGGGTTGCCTAGAGTCCTCGCCACACCTAAAAGCTGGCCATGCACTGCTCGACTTCCGAGCTGTAGGTGGCCAAGTCGGCTCTTTGCTCTTACATCGGCCTATCTGTAGCCACCCTAAAATAAAAGACTCATGCTGCATATATTATATGTATTATTTTCTACAATGTTTTGGGACCTGAGTTGCACTGATAGGATAAAATGCAGCGACTGTCACCTGGGGAGCACATCATTTAAATCTGGCCTTCACAATGGGATACTAACCTCCTCCTCCAACCCCCATTGCAACAGGCAACCAATGCCGAGGATGCTCAAAAAAGACTGCAAATCACATGCTGGACTTGACATTAAACTCGATGCACAAAGCTTTAACAACAGGTTAAGGATCTTTATTATTGCCATGTGACTGTAAATTTAAAATCTCATTGGACATAGCTGAAAATCACTGTCACTTGTGTATTAAAAAAGAAAAGAGCTTTGTGAATGGATCCTAATGTCTAATGCCTATGTGAATGGATCCTAATGTCTAATGCCGTTGTGAATGGGGCCTAATGTCTAATGCCGTTGTGAATGGAGCCTAATGTCTAATGCCTATGTGAATGGAGTGTAATGTCTAATGCCTATGTGAATAGAGTGTAATGTCTAATGCTTTTGTGAATGGATCTTAATCTCTAAAGTATTTGTGAATGGAATCGAATGCCATTGTGAATGGAGCCTAATGTCTTTGTGAATGGAGCCTAATGTCTTTGTGAATGGAGCCTAATGCTTTTGTGAATGGATCCTAATGTCTCCGGACAGACAGCGCGAGTTGAGGGAGCTTAACAAGTGGCTCCGGAGCTGGAGTAAAGGGATCCTAGTGTCTAGTGCCTTGGTGAATGAAGCCTAATGTCTTTGTGAATGGAGCCCAATGTCTAATGCCTTTGTGAATGGATCCTAATCTCTAATGTCTTTGTGAATGGAGCCTAATGTCTAATGTCTTTGTGAATGGAGCCTAATGTCTAATGTCTTTGTGAATGGAGCCTAATGTCTTTGTGAATGGAGCCTAATGTTTTTGTGAATGGATCCCAATGTCTAATGTCTTTGTACAGGGATCCTAATGTCTAGTGCCTTGGTGAATGGAGCCTAATGTTTTTGTGAATGGAGCACAATGTCTAATGCCTTTGTGAATGGATCCTAATGTCTAATGCCTTTGTGAATGGATCCTAATGTCTAATGCCTTTGTGAATGGAGTGTAATGTCTAATGATTTTGCGAATGAAGCCTACAGGTGAAACTCGAATAATTAGAATATCGTGCAAAAGTTCATTTATTTCAGTAATGCAACTTAAAAGGTGAAACTAATATATGAGATAGACTCATTACAAGCAAAGCAAGATAGTTCAAGCCGTGATTTGTCATAATTGTGGTGATTATGGCTTACAGCTCATGAAAACCCCAAATCCACAATCTCAGAAAATGAGAATATGTTTCATGCAATCAATAAAACAAGGATTGTACATAGAACAATATCGGACCTCTGAAAAGTACAAGCATGCATATGTACTCAGTACTTGGTTTGGGTCCCTTTTGCAGCAATTACTGCCTCAATGCGGCGTGGCATGGAAGCTATCAGCCTGTGGCACTGCTGAGGTGTTATGGAAGCCCGGATGATTCAATAGCGGCCTTCAGCTCTTCTGCATTTTTCGGTCCCATGTCTTTTTTTTTTTCTCTTGGCAATGCCCCATAGATTCTCTATGGGGTTCAGGTCAGGCGAGTTTGCTGGCCAATCAAGCACAGTAATCCCACGGTCATTGAACCAGGTTTTGGTGCTTTTGGCAGTGTGGGCAGGTGCCAAGTCCTGCTGGAAAATGAAGTCAGCATCCCCATAGAGCTCGTCTGCGGAAGGAAGCATGAAGTGCTCCAAAATCTCCTGGTAGACGGCTGCGTTGACCCTGGACTTAATGAAGCACAGTGGACCAACACCAGCAGATGACATGGCTCCCCAAATCAACACAGACTGTGGAAACTTCACACTGGACTTCAAGCATCTTGCAGTGTGTGCCTCTCCATTCTTCCTCCATACTCTGGGTCCTTGGTTTCCAAATGAGATGCAAAATTTGCTCTCATCAGAAAAGAGGACTTTGGACCACTGAGCAACAGACCAGGTCTGTTTTTCTTTAGCCCAGGTAAGACGCTTCTGACGTTGTTTGTTGTTCAGGAGTGGCTTGACAAGAGGAATACGACATTTAAAGCCCATTTCCAGGATCCGTCTGTGTGTGGTGGCTCTTGATGCACTGACTCCAGCCTCAGTCCACTCCTTGTGAAAGTCCCCAACACTTTTGAATGGCCTTTTCCTGACAATCCTCTCCAGGCTGCGGTCATCCCTTCTGCTTGTGCATCTTTTTCTGCCACACTTTTCCCTTCCACATAACTTTCTATTAATGTGCTTTGATACCGCACTTTGGGAACATCCAACTTCTTTTGCAATTACCTTTGTGAGGCTTTCCCTCCTTATGGAGGGTGTCAATGATGGTTTTCTGCACAACTGTCAGGTCAGCAGTCTTTCCCATGATTGTGATTCCTACTGAACCAGACTGAGAGACCATTTAACGGCTCAGGAACCCTTTGCAGGTGTTATGGCTTAATGAGCTGATTAGAGTGGGACACTTTGAGCCTAGAATATTGCACCTTTTCACAATATTCTCATTTTCTGAGATTGTGGATTTGGGGTTTTCATGAGCTGTAAGCCATAATCATCACAATTATGACAAATCACGGCTTGAATTATCTTGCTTTGCATGTAATGAGTCTATCTCATATATTAGTTTCACCTTTTAAGTTGCATTAGTTAAACAAATTAACTTTTGCACAATATTCTAATTATTCGAGTTTCACCTGTAATGTCTGACGTCTTTTTGAATGGATCCTAATGTCTAATGTATTTGTAAAGGGATCCTAATGCCTAGTGCCTTGGTGAATGGAGCCTAATGTCTTTGTGAATGGAGCCCAATGTCTTTGGGAATGGATTCTAATGTTGAATGCCTTTGTGAATGGAGCCTAATGCCTGAGTAACAGGACATGTAGAGGTCAGAAATGGAAGTTAAGAAGCACTGACCTGGAAGGATGTCATTCCCACAGATGGGGAAATGAAATGCTTGTCTGTAAACCTAAACTCCAGCATAAGTAAATATTGTCCTCCTACAAGAGTCCTGTGTATTCTTCCTTGGATCTTGGAGAACTTTGTGTATTTCTTCCAGATCTGTGCAGTAATCCAGTGTGACACTTGGAGCTTCCTGTAATAAAGAGCGGTCACTGCTGCTCTCTTTCCATGTGCTGGGTGACTGGTTTTGTCTCCACAGCTCTGCTCTCTGCATGGGCTATGTGCAGTTCAGTGATGATGTCACTGCTACTTAATAACTGTGTTTGTAATGGCATTTGGTGCGCAAAATGCCAATTTATATCCTTTGTGGCTATTTAGAAATATATTTCAATGAAACTTTTTCTACCCTGAGTTCAGCTTCAGTCTTGTTTTGAAAACCAGTTTCTTTACTTTACTTTTGTTCTTAGGTAAGAGAAGTTGTGCCGGAGAGACGTTGGCTAAAATGGAACTGTTCCTCTTCTTTACTACGCTGCTGCAAAACTTCACCTTTCAGGCACCACCTGGAGCTAAACTGGACCTCACAGGCGATGTTGGCTTCTCAACCCCTCCATTGAAGCATGAGATCTGTGCAATTCCTCGCAACTAAAGTGAACGGGGAACTCACATATCTATATGTGATATAGTATACCCCCTGCAAACTATATGAGATTGGTAATCAACTACATGCTTCAAATGTCTTCGGAAGCATGGTAGATTTAATCACATAGTTTGGAATTACCCCAAAATGGGACCCTTCTGGTGTCCGGTGACTGGATTTATTGTTGCTCACTTTGATCTGCCAAATACAATATATGTAATCCATATTGGTGGACATACCTGAGCTCCTCTGAACACGGAGGTGCCTTGGGCCACCCACCTAGTCAACAATGGGCCGCAGCTTTCCCAACACATACAGTTGTGCTCATAAGTTTACATACCCTGGCAGAATTTATGATTTCCTGGCCATTTTTCAGAGAATATGAATGATAACACGAAAACCTTTCTGTCACTCATGGGTAGTGTTTGGCTGAAGCCATTTATTATCAATCAAATGTGTTTACCCTTTTCCAATCATAATGACAACAGAAACCACCCAAATGACCCAGATCAAAAGTTTACATACCCTGGTAATTTTGGCCTGATAACATGCACACAGGTTGACACAAAGGTGTTTGAATGGCTATAAAAGGGAACCATCCTCACCTGTGATCTGTTTGCATGTAATCAGTGTGTGTGTACAAAAGGCCAATGAGTTTCTGGCCTCCTGACAGACCCTTGCATGCTTCATCCAGTGCTGCACTGACGTGTCTGGATTCTGAGTCATTGAATTGTCAAAGGACCTGCGGGAAAAGGTAGTTGAACTGTATAGAACAGGAAAGGGATATAAAAAGGAAACAACTGCCAGTAAAATTGTTCGGGATGCAAAGAAAAACCCACAAATAACCATGTGAAATACAGGACACTCTGAAAACATGTGGTGTGGCTGTTGCAAGATGCACAATAAGGAGGCACTTGAAGAAAGATGGGCTGCATGGTCGAGTCACCAGAAGAAAGCAATTACTACACAAATGCCACAAAGTATGCCGCTTACAATAGGCCAAACAGCACAGAGACAAGCCTCAAACCTTCTGGCACAAAGTCATTTGGAGTGATGAGACCAAAATTGAGCTTTTCGGCCACAACCATAAACGCTACATTTGGAGAGGAGTAAACAAGGCCTATGATGAAAAGTCCACCATTCCTACTGTGACACACGGAGGTGGATCGCTGATGTTTTGGAGATGTGTGAGCTACAAAGGCACAGGAAAGTTGGTCAGCATTGATGGCACGATGAATGCAGTGTGTTATCATACTGGAGGACAATTTGCATGCATCAGTCTGGAAGCTGCGCATGGGACGTACTTGGACAATACAACATGACAATGATCCTAAACACAAGGCCAAGCCCACCTGTCATTGGCTACAGCAGAATAAAGTGAAGGTTCTGGAGTGGCCATCTCAATCTCCTGACCTCAATATCATTGAGCTACTCTGGGGAGATCTCAAACGTGCAGTTCATGCAAGACAGCCCAAGATTTTACAGGACCTGGAGGAAGAATGGGCAGCTTTACCATCTGAGAAGATAAAGAGCCTCATCCACACATACCACAAAAGACTTCAAGCTGTCATTGATGTTAAAGGGGGGAACACACCGTATTAAGAACTGGGGTATGTAAATTTGGGTAGTTTCTGTTGTCATTATGATTGGAAAAGAGTAAACACAGTTGATTGATAATAAATGGCTTCAGCCAAACACTACCCATGAGTGACAGAAAGGTTTTCGTGTTATCATTCATATTCTCTGAAAAATGGCCAGGAAATCATAAATTCTGCCAGGGTATGTAAACTTATGAGCACAACTGTAGCTGCACAGGAGCGGGATGCTTGTGCTAAGGTCATCATTCAAAAACATCATGGAGCCAGCTTTCCGGCTCCATCTTTCCTCGCGGCACTGGCAGTCAGAGGAAATCTTCCTCTGACCGGAAGTTCTAGTATCGGGAAAGGTATCGGAGCATTTGGGCGAGTATGAGTACTCTCCCAAATACTTGGTATCGGCACCGATACTAGTATTGGTATAGGTGCATCCCTACACTGTATGTATAATGTACTATTGCTGGCATTTGTTGTATTGCTATATAGCTGGTGGTATTCTGCATTGCGCCGTATAATCATTATACAGCACACTGCACACTGCAGAATAACAGCAGCTATAGAGGACTACAAATCCCAGCGATAATAAATTATACGGCGCAATGGAGAATAACACCAGCTACAGAGGACTACAAATCCCAGCAATAGTACATTATAATATAATGTACTATTGCTGCGATTTGCTGTATTCCTCTGTAGCTGGCATTATTCTGTGTTGCGCCGTACAATCATTATACAGCACACTGCAGAATACCGGCAGCTATAGAGGACTACAAATCCCAGCAATAGTACATTATAATATAATGTACTATTGCTGCGATTTGCTGTATTCCTCTGTAGCTGGCATTATTCTGTGTTGCGCCGTACAATCATTATACAGCACACTGCAGAATAACACCAGCTATTGAGGACTACAAATCCCAGCAATGGAACATTATAGTATAATGGTATAATGCTGCGATTTGTTGTATTCCTCTGGGATTCGTTGTCTCCTTTAAGCAGTGGTTCTCCACCTGTGGGTCGCTGTGTGATTTCTGCTGTGCTAGGTGAGAGTCCTCCTCAGCCCTCACCTAGAGCAGCTGTGTCAGTTCTCCCGCCACGCCGCCAGGGGTCCCGGCCCTAGAAAGGTTGAGAACCACTGCTGTAAGCCTATCACAATCTACTGAAGTGCACAGCGCTCAAAGTTTAATTCCATCATTATATCTCAGGCAGAGGAGAGGACAAAGTAATGACAATTTCTATTATCAATTTTGCTTCACCATATTATCATACAAACATTGCAGTGCAGGAAGTAAAAGATAAGATTCTATTTAAAGCTGAACTCCCAGTAAAAAATTAACAAATGTGTCACCATTTACCAGCTTCCCCCACCCATCCCCTTAGCTGATAAAGGGACTAATGCTTGTTTTATCTAGGGGATGAGAAAGCATTATTTACTTTATTTGCAACTACCAGTGCTCTGGTCCTGTTCTCTATAATGCTGGAATATGGGTGGGCTCTTAACGTCATCACATACAATGCAGGTCAAGCAGTGGCCATTGGTCCTGTATTGTGCATGATGACGTCAGTGAGAGGGGCGACATCCAGATTGGGCACAAACTGGCAATAGAGGATATGTGGGACCAGTCATTACAAACCAAATGCAGTGGCCCCCAGGTTACCTAACTGCAAGCCAACACAAGGTCGCGGACATCAAGTTTGCCACACCAGGGGGTTGCAGCAGCCGGGTGGCTATGACGAGGAGATGGGATGAGATGAGATAGCAAGGTTGGTTTCCCAGCAGAGGTCAAGGCAGGTGGCAAGCAAAAGAGTTGTAAGTGTCAGGCGGGTGGCAGAGGTTAACAAGAAAAAACAGATTCAGCAACTGGTCATGGAGAGAGGAGCAGAGCCGGGAGATCTGGGTCAGCAATGGGTAATCAGAATAACAGTACAGGGCAGCCTATAAGAACTCAGCACATGCCACCAAGATGAAAGAGGTTTAAATACCCTCCAAGCCGATGAATACACCTCATCAGAGATTAAGCTAACACAAGCCCCCAATGTATGCCAACACACGCTTATGTGCACAATCAGCCATAGCCAAAAGACAATGATGCAACAGGTGGTAGACAGACATGAAGGACCATGCCCCTGGCTGTACACACATTTTTCCTGGAGGTACTGTAATACAAAACAAGCATTTTATTTGGCATATTAATTAATTATGTTACTCCTCAAAGTCCAGCTTCAAACCCAGCCTTGACATCTGATGCTTGATGTGCCAAAAGAGGATATGGACCGCCATAACTGCCCGCTCTTTAGAGGGAAACAATTATGATCTTAAATCAATTTATTTTTAACTCTATGTTAGTTTTCAAGTTTTGGAATTTCCTAAATACTTTTATATTGCTGGTGTGCCAACCACCTGCATGTTCATGTCAATGATACCGTCAATGACTCACATTTAGTATCATACATAGTAGCTGCAATTCACATTTTTACACAGCAATAACTTTATTTTATTTTTAACAATAACTGCGATGGGTTCACCTTTCTACATTTGGGTGTCACACATGGAGGGATCAGTTTAAAGCAGGGTGGGAGAAGGTTCATGGGTAATTAAGGTACAATTCATCCATTGTGTCTTTTGGCACAACAATTGTATACAGGTATTCCTCACTTAACGACCGAGTTCCGTTCCTACGACCAGGTCGTTAAACGGATTGGTCGTTAAGTGAGGAACTCTATACAGTACTATACTGCATTAGTACAGTACTGTATAGCGTTGCCGATGTACAGTACCGAACAGTGTACTGTACATCCGGCAATGGAAATACTTACCGAGACCTGCAGTGAAGATCGGGGGATGTCACTTCCGCCGGCGACCCGTCGCACTGACGCTGACGCGGAAGGTCGGAGGTCGATCGGCGGTCCGTCGTAAGTGCGAGTGGTCGCAAAACAGGTAAGTCGGTAAGTGAGGAACATCTGTACTAGAAATTCGTTTAGTTCCAAATTGAAATACCTAAAAACCGGCAAATTAGGACATTCGGATGCATCCGAAATAACGAATCCGAACATGTCTGATTCTTTCGATTCTTTTGATAACGAAATTTGTATGCATCTGAAAATGTTTTCAAATGTCATTCGGAATGAACTTTCTAGGTTAAATGTTAAAATAACATTTAAAAAAACAACATGGACTCCTCTCCCAATTCATACCAGACTCTTTAAGTCTGGTAGGGATTTTAGGGGGGACCTCAACACCAAAAATGTGTGCCCTTTAAATCCCTTACCAGACCCTTGATCCACGCAGCAGCCTGGCATACTAGGCCACATGCCCTCAACATGGGAGTGTGCTTTGCCAGGGGGGGGGGACCTCTTCCCCACAACCCTGGCCCAGAGGAGTCCAAATCCGTTACAATACACCATATGAAACAG